GAGCACCTGTCCTGAAATCCATCCAGGTTTCCAAACAGACACACATTCTTCTGTCACATCTGCAGCCAGGTTGGTCCCAGGGAACATATGTCAATCTTAAGTTCACAATAAGGTTGTGCAGCACATCAGTTCAAGTTCAAGTTCTGACCCAGGCACTGAAGGTAAAGCCTTTAAAGGATGGTTAAGACCTGAAAGTCTGAAGCTGTTGGGGAAATAGTGGGGAATACAAGTTTAGATCTAGGCATAGAGCAGGACTTTCTGAATAGGGCTCCAGTTGTTAAGGGAGTAAGGACCCAAACTGACATTTCGTGGAATTAAAAAGCCTTTGTAATAGCAAAGGAAGTGGTCGGTTAAGCGAGGAGACAGCCTGCAGAAGGGAGAGAAAGCCTTTGCCGTATCTGATAGACCGTTCGTAACTAGAATACATGATAAACTAAACATCACAAAACATAATGCTCAGTCAGAAATGGGCTGTGACATTAATCAGAGTGCTCAAAAGAAGAACTGCAGATGCTTACTTAAAAAGTGTTTAGTAGCCTTAGCCATCAAGACAATAAACCTGGAAACCCATCTGAGATCCTTGCGCTTCAGTCAGAAGGGCTGTTCTACATTGCTCTTCATGATACTAGGTCTTTTGGATTATAAATCCCCTCCTCCCATGGTGGGGGGAAGAACAGCTTTAGGGTGTCCAGTGGAAGCTGGGGAGGGCAGCAGAAGTCACCTCTGAGGAAATCCTACCCTTGTGGGATGGTTTACTTACCCGATGAGGAACAAGACTCAGAAATATTTGTGGAGAATTCCCAGGAAACCTGAAGTCCAGGCAGTGGAATTCTTGGCTACAGTGATAATTGAATCCTTCCACTCAAGGCTCTGTCTGGGCCATACCAGACACTAGAGCCTCAAGAGACCCTGTGGGTTCTTAGCATGACCCCAAAGTCTGGGGGCTTCTGCAGATACTGAAATTTGAGGTTAGAATCATTGCTCGGAGTTGATTATTGACAATACATAAACATGACATTTCTTGGACTTTATAAACCTACCCTTACTTGGTTAGCAAAATTTACTTAGAAATGACATTTCCAGGGGGGCTCTGAGGCCATTGCACTTTCTGGTACCCACTCTGTGACTGTAGGGACTTGAAGAGTCAGCACTGGGTGGGGGCGGGGGCAAGAGGAAAGCCGGAAGCTAATTTTCAGAAGTGAGGGTGGTGGGGGGGTGAAGGAGACTGTGATCCTCCCGAGCCAAGTGCTGGAAGTGTCTCTCTTGAGTCTTCGCATTGATACTCCCCCAAGGTCACAAAGCTCGTAAGAGATAGAGCCAGGAGTGAGCTGGGCAGCTAGGGTTCTTGTTTGTGGCACTCTTGACTCACAAGCCATGGGCTGAGAGTGGTGTCAGGTGACATAGGAAGAGTCCTCTGTGGCTATCAGTCGGCAAAGTGCTTTTATTTGTCTTGTATTTAATTTTTGTAGACACAGTCTCATGTATCTCAAGCAGGTCTCAGACTTACTATGTAGCTGAGGGTGACCCTGAACTTCTGATCTTCCTGTCCCCACTTTCCAAGTGCTGGGATTACAGGTGTGCATTACCATGCCCAGTTTTAGGCAATGGTGGAATCGAACCCAGGACATTGTAGATGCTAGGCAAGCACTCTAGCACCTGGGCTACATTCCCAGCCCCAGGTGTTTTTGTTTCTAAGGATGAATTTACACAAGCCTCTTCTTTGGAAACAGAATGGTGGGGTGTGGCAGGATGAAACGCCAAAAACATCTTTGCTCTCTGGCAAGAGCATTCTGGCAGGCGGATGTGACAGAGGGGCTGGTTTCACCTGGATTACTCCATTTAGATGAAATTTGACTAGGGATTTGGAGAGCATTATTACATTGTTGGGCAATTCCTGTGTGGAAGTAGACAGAGCTTAGTGTTTGTTTATAGGTAAATGCCTCACAGAGATCACCACAGGTGAGGGTTTAGCGGATGCAGCATAGCAGCATTAAAACACAGACGTACACACATACGCACATGGGTTTTAGTCTGCTTATTGGGATTTTCTGGAATAGTGCTTTGGGCTTGAAGATCACATTTCTCGTGTGTTCTCAACTCAGATAGAAGAGGGTTGGTACAAAATAGATTTGTCCATGCTCCCTGAGTTTTAGTTTTAGCCCCACATGGAGAGACTGACGTCTGAGGGATCAGAAACTTCCCAAATCAAAAGTCCTGAGACTACCTGATTCCCTCCCAAGGGACCTGAGGGGGGGCTGTTTACTTCAATCAGAATAGCTTTCCTCAGTGAGTAAATTGCTACATTCAAATCCTCAGCGTGGCCTCTGACTACCCTTGTCCTTCCCACGTCAATTTCATTTCTGACTAATATTTCTCTTTGGATTTGGGTTTCTGACCTACCCATCCACCCACCCACCCACCTTCCCTTCCCTCCCTCCCTCTCTCCCTCCTGCCTGCCTTTCTTCCTCTTACTCATTTGGGTAGCCATCCCTCTCTTCATATATTATCCATTCCCTATATTCTCTGTGATAGGGTCCCCCAGGGACCTGACTTTCCCACTCCTGTTCTTGCCTTAGGGACTGGGGACTCTCAGCAGCTCCTTCTTGAAAGCTAGAGGACCTGTCCTTATATGGTCCCCCACCTTCACTGACCTTGACCTGGATGGTGCTCTCTTTTGAGTGACACAGAGTAGCTACTTTCCCTTTTTAGGTTCTCAGTTAGATGACAGCTTTGAAGATCAAAATCTAAATGGGTGCTTCTATGCTGAGAATCCTTGCCCAGGGCTCCAAACCTGCTGACATAGGAGGGCTGTGCTGGCCTTAGCTGCCATACCCTATTGTCTCCTGGGCAATTTGGCCTCTTGCCTAGAGCCAGCAGCCCCAGGGTGTCACTGTGCCAAGCCACCAAGTCATGGAAGTTTGTCCACTGGGGCCACTCTAGTTGCTTTGGCGGGAATGAAACAGCCAAATTCAGGCACCTTCTCAAAACATAAGTACTTCATGACTTTTTCCAGGGCCTATGCAGCAGATCTCTCTCAAGAACAATTTAGCTGTGCCAGATGTGGTGTTTGCATGCCTTTAATCCCAGCACTTGGGAGGCAGAGGCTGGTGGATCTCTGAGTTTAAGGCCAGCCTGGTCTACAGAGTGAGTTCCAGGACAGCCAGGGTACACAGGGAAACCCAGTCTGGAAAAACAAAACAACAACAATAATAACAAAAATCCAACAGAACAAACAGGGAGAGAGAGAGAGAGAGAGAGAGAGAGAGAGAGAGAGAGAGAGAGAGAGAGAGAGAGAGAGAGAGGAGAGAGAGGAGAGAAAGAGGAGAGAGAGAGAGAGCGAGCAGTTTACTTTTGTCCATGGCCCCCTTCCTCCTTCCCAGCTGTCTTAATGGAAAGAGACTAACCACATCATGTAAGTGATCCTTCATAAGTTTTGCTGTGGCCCAAGGAGTCCAATGTCCCATGTCTTCTTTGGTCATTGTATATACTCATATTCATCCCCTCCCTCTCCTTGGTCTGTAGCCCAGGCTGGTTTAGAACTCACTATGCAGCTAAAGCTGAACAGTCCTCCTGTCTTCCTGCCTTTGCTCCCAGGCACTTGATGACAGGTCTGAGACACCATGCTAGGGTCTCATGTATCGTTAATGTGGGGAATTGGTTCCAAGATCTGCCTTACTGGGTGATTTTCATGTGGTATAGCATCACTGACTATACTTATACAAACTAAGATGGCCATAAAATTACTGGGAAATGTGATTCTATAGGACCAGTGGCAAATATATTAGTTGAGCAAAAATGTTTTATGCATTGTATAATTGTATTTTATTCCTTCTCTCTGTCTATGTGTATGTCTTTTTTTTTCCTTTATGGAAAATTTATTGCAACTCTCCAACAGCACATCACTTTTTCTTTTCATCATCTTGCTCTGCAGCTTCCTTTGCCCTCTTTGCTCGGATGCCAAAGAGCACCATCCAGGTCAAGAAGCCTTGAGGTTCTTCTCTTCTTCTGTGATGACCCTGGCTTTCTCCTTTTTGTAGACATTCCGGATGGGCATCACAGGTCCTGTGAGCTGGGTGGCCAGTTTAAGTTCTTGAGCAGAACTATCTCCCTTCTTTGGAGCAGAAGGCTTCCTGGGGAAGAGTATGAGGTCGGAACAGTCGGTACTCCTTCAGGCCCGGCACATTGGCCTGTAGTGATTCAGTAGATTTATTTTGCCTCCTTGGGTCCACAGTGATGCCGATGGTGCGAGCCACTTTCTTATGGATACCAGCCACCCTGAGTTCTTCCAGGCTGAAGCCCCTGCCAGCTGGAACCTTGGTGTGGTATCTCACTGTGGGGTACCTCACTATGGGCCTGATGGGACCGGGACGCCGGGCGAGGAGCAATGCGGCGCGCTTTCGCCTGCCGGCCCTTGCGTCTGCGGATCTTGCATGCCGGCTGGTTGAACCAAGTGTCCACTCGCTGCTGCCAATCCTTGTGGAAGTGGGGCTTCAGGATCATGCCATTCTGGCTGGGCGCTATGGCTGCCGAGCAGAAAGGGCTATGTTTATATCTTAATTAGGGTTTCTATTGCTGTGATGAAACATCATGATTGAAAGCAAGTTGGGGAGGAAAGGGTGTATTTAGCTTACACTTCCACATCACTGCTCATCACTGAAGCAAGTCAGGACAGGAACTCAAACAGGGCAGAATCCTGGAGGCCGGAGCTGATGCAGAGGCCATGGAGGGGTGCTGCTTTACTGGCTTGCTCTCCATGGCTTGCTCAGCCTGCTTTCTTGTAGAATCCAGGACTACCAGCCCAGGGACCACACCACCCACAATGACCTGGGCCCTCCCCCATCAATCACTAGTAAAGAAAATGCCCTAAATGCAGATCTAATGGAAGCATTTTTCTCAGTTGAGGTTCTCTCCTTTCAGATGACTCTAACCTATGTCACGTTGGCATAAACTAGCCAGCACACTGTATTTGTGTGTGACATGTATGTGCATTCATATGTGCACTGGTACACCTGTGCATGTGTGTGGGCAGGCCAGAGGCTGACATCAGGTATCTTCTTGATCTCTCTTCATTTACTGAGGCAGGACATCTCATTGAGCCTGGAGCTGTTATGTGGGTGCTGGGATTCACTCTACAAGACCATCTGATCCACCGCTAGGCTGGAGAGATGGCTCAGCCGTTAAAGGCTAGGCTCACAACCAAAAATATAAGACGGTCGGTTACATCTACAATTCACACTCTTGTCTCACACTTTCCTAGTGAGCATTTTGTCCACAGAGTCATCTCCCCAGTCCCCTTTGTTCCTTCTTAATTTACTTTCTACTCAAAGTCCTCTATTCCACAAATGTCCACTGAAATAGCTGGGCACTTCTCTGGGATCTAAACCAGTCTACCGTCTGCCATGACTTCCCAGCCTTTGGACTGAGGTCAAGAGCTAACATTTGTTTCAGTGTTTCTTAGCGGCTGGCCTTGATGACTTCCTCTCCCATCTGTCCTTCTTCCTCCTTTGTTCCCACTCACCTCTGCTCTCTCAGAACTTGCCATACACTCTGATCCCAGCAGTATCCTGACAGAACTCGGGGCAGCTTCCTTCTTGACTTTCATAATACCTCCTGGCATAGGAGGACCTCCCACCCTTCTGTGCATTGGGCACGTGATAGGCTCTTAATAAAGTACACCAAATGAATGGACAAATGCCAAATCTTTTAAAGGTATTTATAAGTCACGTGCTGGTCGAGGATTGACCAAGAAAAGGTAAACAATCAGAGTAGTTTAGTGTGGATCTCATTGTTGACTTTGAGGGTCATGGCTGAGCACAGAGAGAAGTTGAAAGATAAAATACCAGATGTAGAAAATGCTAACTTTTAAATGTTTAAAAAATTTTTGAATCTTATCCAAGTTTTTCCCAGAGAGAAGGAAAAGAAAGTGTTGTTCTCAGAGATGTTTATCTTGTTTCCAGGGCAACGGAGTCAATACTCACCAGAGAGGAGAGAAATGGAGACAGTCATACAGAGTGGCTCCTGAGTTCCAACTAAGTCACTGAAGACATAAAACAAATGAGACTTTCCTAAAAGAAGCGTAACTATGAAAACCAAAGGAAAGGAAGTCGGTTATCTGAGCAAAATCACTCATGGTGGAAGCTGAGATGATGGTGCACTGTTGAGGATTTCTGTGAATGGTCAACCCTGTTGATGCTTACAGCAGGGAGACTTATCGAGTTAGAACTGTGTGCAAGAACCATCTCCCAGCCGGATGGTGGTGGGAGGCAGAGGCAGCCAGATCTCTGAGTTCGGGCCAGCCTGGTCTACAGAGTGAGTTCCAGAACAGTCAGGGCTACATAGTAAAACCCTGTCTGAAAATAAACAAACAAACAAAACAACAACAACCAGGGAACCGTCTCCCACAGCTGATTGTGAAAGCCCCACATGGTGTGTAAAGGAACATGGCCACGGGCTGTCCCTAAGAGGCTGGTTCACCTCTTCTTACTGTTCTCTGGACCACAGTACTCCCATTTCATTCCCCTCTGGAGGAAATTTCAGGTCTGTTTTTTAGTGTAACTGTTTCCTTCCTAATTCTAGCATTCCATGTATCCGTTCATTGCCATGGAGACCATCGTTTGAACAATTCATCTGAACAGGCCTTGGTGAGTGGGTAGAGTAGGACCCCAGGCGTATCCACCTGAGTCCATGACAGCTTCTGAAGTGGAATGCTGGATGACTGCTTGGGCAATAGCCATGGCTGGTTGTCACAGGCTTCCTAAGCCTGGCCTTTTTCATTCACCCCTTTACTTTTCATCTGTTCCAAAGTCACTTGTTCATTGCCTCCTGCACACTCATGATGCATGCTGACAGTAGGACCCCGGATTTCTTAGACTCCCCAGGGTCCTCCTGTGGAGTCTGGACTCCTCATCCGTGTCAGGATACTCCCCACACAACAGACTGCAGCAGTAGCCTGTGCTTGCAGCCTTGTGTGTTTAGAATGAGGGAGGTCTGAGCTTCTTCCTCGTGTTGCTGGCACTGATTGTGAGATCTCCAACTGCCATGGCCCCTCTCGACAGCTCTGTCCATGCAAACACCCGTAGCATGAAGCCTAGCACTTGGAAACTAGCACCCCAGGATGGATGGAGTGGTGAAGAGGTAGAAGTCTAGAGGGAAGGAGCATGAGAGCTAACAGATCATAACCCACAAGACCCATATGTGTTAGTGCCATGAAGTCGCCCTCAGGAGAGAGCCTGAACAGTAGTGTGAAACAGGATTGGATCTGGAGGCAAGGGATGACATTCGACATAAGAACAGCACAGGAGGCAGCAGTTTAGGGCTGAGAACCGCCCCCATGACACCTGAGGCCAAGGGTGTGGCACCTGACAGTGGCCGCTGAAGCCCTTGCTCTAAATCTGTGAGTACCAATACTGTTTTCATACTCACAAATGACTCCAACATGTTCCTAAGGAAAACCAAAAATATAGATGTTTGTTCTTTCACTTTTTAAAGAGGTTTGTCTCAATAGACCCACTGTAAAATGGAAAATATCCCAATATCGCAATCTAAATGCATGAGTAGAGGTCGATATGGTGTTGTACGCCTGTAACCCAGACTTGGGGAGGTTGAGGCACAGAGATCTGGAGTTCAAGGCCAGTCTAGGCTACATAATAAAACCCTATCTCAATTTTTAAAAAATTCAGAGGCAATTACATTTAATACACCTAACCTGCCCAACGTGCTTGCTTACCAACACAGTTTACTGTGAAGTTGGTTTTGGCCTTTATAATCACATGGCTGACTGGGAGTTGTGATACGCTGTCACAATCCACGTCATGAGAGGGTGGGGTAACTGCACATGGCTAACGTGGGAAAAGATCGAATTAAAAGCCATGCCATATGTTTCTTGATGACTATGGATCATGCTTACATCAGTGTAAACAATAAGTCAAGCTGAAAGTCAGGGTCAGTCTGTGTATATATGAGCACATGCACACATATCACTCTTTGACAGTTTGTACACATGTATAGTACATTATGGTCATACACCTCCCTATACCCTCTCTCCTCCTCCCCCTGCCACCAAGTCCCCATTCCATTTCCATGTCTTTTTGCCTTGCCACTCACTGAGTTTATCCATGATCACTCCTATGGCATGGGTGTAAAACTACCCAAGGGAGTAACTCACTACACTACTGAAGACAATGGATTCCTCTCCCCCAGCAGCAGCCCTTGACTACCATTAGCTCCCCTGAACATACCGCCTTGCCCCTCTCCCATTTATGACACAATAGTTACACACGTATTTTTAAAGTGGTGAAATGTATAGAGAGAGGCTTGACTTAATTTGAGGCAGAATAAGCAAAGCCTATTTCTAACGTAATTATTAATGTTGCTCCTGGTGTGCTCTAGTGAGGCAGCCTCCTCCTCGTCTGCCTGAAGCTCAGTTCACAAAAAGACAGATGAGATGGAGAAACTCAGACCTCAGGGTAGCTCTGGAGGTTCCAAGGTTTCTTGTTGAATTACTAACACAGCTCATACCAGCTTTATGGAAAATTAAGCTACATGAACCACCACTTTAAATATTACTCTAGTAAGATTAAGAGTCAGCATACATGGTCCTGGTTGGTTTTTTTTTTTTTTTTTTTTTTTTTTTTTTTTTTTTTTTTTGTCAGCTTGATATAAGCCAGAGTTATCTGGCAATAGGGACTCTCAGGAAATGCCTCCATCAGATTGGCTTATAAGCAAGTCTGTCAGGCATTTTCTTGATTGGTGACTAGTAGGGGAGGGCCCAGATCATTGTAGGTGGTGCTATCACTGAGCTGGTGGTCCTGGGTTCTATAAGAAACAGTCTGAGCAAGTCACAGAGAGCAAGCCAGTAAACAGCACTCCTCCATGGCCTCAGCTCCTGCCTCCAGGTTCCTGCCTTGAGTTCCTGTCCCGACTTCTATCAGTGATAGACTGTCATGTAAGTGAAATAAACCCTTTCTTACCCAGGTTGCTTTTGGTCATGATGTTTTATCACAGCAATAGAAACCCTGACTAAAACATACACAGATTCCACAGAAATATTACCAGAGCAGAGGAGTCTTCACTAATTTTTAAAATAGTTTTGTGTGTTTGTTTGCCATATTTTTTAAGATAGAGTCTTAATTTGTTTTTCTAGTTTCAACTCTGTCATAGTTTTCTGTCTTTCTCTATTTTTGGGGGGAGATAAGTCTGTAAAAATGTATGTGGTAGCGAAAGTGTAAAACTCTAAGGGGACTCCATGATGGCTTGTCTAACTGTAGAGAAGTTCAGGCTGGCCACCTGAATCTAGCTGGGTGATGCTTATTTGTGAGTTAATTAGAGTAAAGTGATTTCTTTTTAAGTTACAGACTAAGTACCTAGAGAGAACTAAGAGAACAAGTCACACACACACACACACACACACACACACACACACACGTGTGTGTGTGTGTGTGTGTGTGTGTGTGTGTGTGTGTGTGTGTGTGTGTGCACGCGTGTGTGTGACTATGTAGGCCAGCATGGTCTCGACCCCTGCCTTCTGCTGCAGTCTCTCTAGCACTGTGATCACAGGCATGTGCTACCATGCTCACTCAGCTTTGGGCGGCTTTTAAGTAAGTATTTGGTCTTAGAACTCAATCCGTAATGGCTTCTTGCAAGAGCCTGCTTGTGTGTGGAAACCTTCCCTTGTGGGGAAAGAGCCATGAAACGCTTTATTTTCATGGTTGGACACTGTATTAGTTAGCTTGGCCTGCCATAATAAAATACCATACTCTGGGTGGCTTAAACAATAGAAATTCATTTTCTCACAGCTATGGAGGCTGGCAGTCCAAAAGAATGCACCTGCTTTGCTGGTTTCTGGTCAGGGCCCACCTTCTGGCTTGCAGGCGGTCACCTCTCTCTGTGTTCACTTACCAGGCATGGAGCTCTCAGACAGCTGTGTGGTATTTCTTCCTATAAGGGTGCTCATCCCATTGTGAGCCCCCCACCCTTATGATCTTATCTAACCAAACTTCCAAAGGCTTCCTCTTTAGATACCATCCAATGGAGGGTTAGAGCATCAGTGTGTGGATTTGGGGGCACTGGGGATAAGGCAGTCCCTATTCTGACCCCGCATTCCCTGTTTTCTACAGTTTCTACCTCTGAGAACCACGCTGGAGTCTCAGCTTGGACTTTTCTTTCTTTGGAGAACTGAGTGAGCTCCAGGGGCATATAAAGGAGATCCCTTTCCTGAGTTCACAAGGGCAATGTTAATGAGTATATTAGAATGGGTATTGTTTATGAGCCTCATATTCAGTCCACACCATTCTAAGAAGTTTACAAGTATTCTCATTGTTATTCTTCACAATAACCCCAGAGAACTCTCTTATCTCCTTCTTTTCACAGATGTAGCACAGAGACATTGTGCCAGGAAATGGCACAGCTAAGGGCCAAACCAGGGCATCTGGCTCCAGACTGTCGCCTTGGTCACACAGCCTTTAACGGTGGGATGGACAATATGTAAGTAGGAGATGGATGAAGGTAACACTCCTGGACAGGGTGCTGTGGACTTCACTTTCCACCCCAAGCCAGGACAGGCCAGTGTACGAGGCTGGTTTGTGGAAAGCTGTAAGTGTAATAGACATATGAATGCTGGCCAAACTTAGAACAGGTATAGACTTGAAGCTTCTACTCCCAATGTTAAGTAGTGAAATAAACAGCTCTGTTCTTGGCCTAACCCCAGTTTCCTGCTTTTCAGTTGGATAAAGATCAAGGCTCTCTTGATTTAGGATTACAGGATCAAGGGACATGACAAGGCCTGTTAAGCCATCAGAGACTTTTCAGTGACTCTGTGAGGGACCACCTGTGGAAGGATGCCATGTCTATATCAACAGCTCTAGAGGGTTCTGTGGAGCCAGGAGCTTCTCTCAGTGAACGTCTGCTCAGTGGTTACCAAGTAAGTCCAGAATGCTGGCTGTCCTGCAGTCCACCATGCTGTCTTGTCCTGGTGGCATTTCTATCCGACATTAATACCAGTTATTTCGACAGTGCTCATCCGTGCCTGGTGCTTCTGGAAGGGTAGTTGGAAGGATGAGGGAGATACAGTAGGGAAATATGTGACGACGCTCTGTGAGCAGAGTGGAGATGGGGCATTCTGCGGAGAGTTTAGTCTTGTCAATAGGGTTTTTTTGTTACCTTTTCAAGCTCCAGCTTCCTCCCTTGGAGAGCGTAACAAATGTGTAATGGCCTTGGGGTCACTGTTCTGAGTCTGCTGTGTGGTAGGTATGTAGTAGGGCATTAAGGAAGCTATTTTCCTCAGGTGCTGTGGGTTGTGTTCTCTTCCTTGAAGGCATGCCTCTGCTAGAGCTGACTGAGGCCATCTTTCTTACTTCTGACCACATCTGACCACACACCTTCCCATTCTGAGATGCTTTCATGCTTCTGCTCAAGGGCCAATGTGTTAGGCCAAGAAAAGCACCCAACTGGATTTTCAGGATAGTGGTGGGACAGCAAGGAGTAGAGATCTGTGGACATGGACTAGAATGACTTAAAATGACAAAAATATAAAAAAAAAAAAATACCCTGAAGAGAAAAAATGAAGTTTTCATCTCACTGGAGGACTTTTCAAATTATGTCATAGTCCAAAAGCGACACTTCAACACAGAATCATCATCTCCTGGAAAGATTGTAACAAGTGACAAATGGGAACATCATGATCAGGCAACAGCAGACAATGACCCCTAGCAGACTAACAGAGAGAGAGAGAGATGCCATAGGCTCAGTTCTCATAATCACATTTCAGAGCATGGTTTACTGCAGTCAATATTCCTTTGACAGACCTGCTCATATGACGGGTGGTGACCAGTAGCCCAAGAGCTGAATGTCCCCCTTTTCTTTGCCATCTCAGGCTTCAGAGCTGCTCTTCTGGCTCACTCTGTTGTGACAAGGCCATTCTTCATGTGACCTGTGCCATTCTTCATGTAGCTTTGGTGGAGGAGAAACAGGTTAAAAACAACCAATAGACAGAACAGACCATCTGAGCAGACGAGGTTTCATCTGAGAGAGAAAGAAGACCGGGAAGTTGCCCATGGAGATAAGCACACAGATTCGATTTCCTATCCATTGCAACTCCAGGAGGAAGCAGTTGCCTTCACAGCTGGAGGTACTGTCCTGCAGAAATCTCTGTGTTTTTATTTTGACTGGGTCTCTCCTCCCCTCCCTCCTGCAGCCTGCCTTCTTGCATGGGTGCTCTGTTGAGGCAACTTGAAGGGTCTCATTCATTCCCAAGGCTACAGAGGGAGCATAGACTGAGTGTGGTGAAAAGTGCCTCTGTGTTGTGACCAGGAAAGCCCAGGCAGGAGCAGAGTGAGTTTCTCTCGGTCACAGGCTTTTCTTTCTTGCATCCTAGGTGAGCAAATGATAAACTCCCACAAAGTCATAGCCTGTTCTCCCAAATGGTTCTTGTTTCTGAAACGGAATCTATGCAGCCCAAGCTGGTCCCGAACTTGCAATCCTGCATCAACCTCCTAAGACTTAGGATTGCAAGTGTGTACCACCATTTCACAAAAATATTTATTTATATGTTTATTGTCGTACTAGGTTTCAAATCCAAGGGCTTGTGTGTGCTAGGGAAGCCCTCTCCCACTCAGTGACATTCTCAGGCCAGATGATCTTTACTAACAAATAAGAAATCTGGTTTTGCCTCCTGGACACAGAGATGTAAAAACCATCAGTTAAGATTAAACATAAATCGGGTCAGCTCTTAGGAGGTACCATTTCTGGTGTGTTCAGGCACCACTCATGGCTGATGCTGCCTCCTGCGGCATCTTCCTGTCTTCCCTGGACACAGCCATCCATGAATCCCTTCTCCCCTGACTATCCCCAAACAGTGTGACTGACATGTAAATGGTGTCAGGTGGGTGAGCTGAGTCTGGAACCCTACCAGCCCTCCAGTCACAGAGTGGGAAAGCTTGAGAATAAACACTGCTTCTTTAATTGATTATAAGCTAGGAGAAGCAGCTTTTGCAAAAGCTAATTAGGGCAAGCCGCTTGTCATAGCAGCACGGTCAATCTCACGGACATCAAGTCCTGAGCTGCTGCTATGCCGTCTCCTCTGCCTCCCCTCCCCACTGCCTTGGGTCTTCAGTTTCTCCTCCTCATGTATCTCTGCCATTTCCTTCTGGTGTGATTAAATCTTGAATAGTGCACAATAACCCTGGCTCGCTGGTTCTTGTTTCAAGTCAATAAGCATGTGTGGCTCTGTGTGTACATGGGCGCGCGCGCGTGCGTGCGTGTGTGTGTGTGTGTGTGTGTGTGTGTGTGTGTGTGTGTGTGTGTAAGGTGCTGTGTTTTGTCCAGTCTATAGCAGGCATGACAACTCAGGATAGAAATAGCACAGAGTCATCATTAACAGGCAGGGTGGGGAGTGTAATGGGTATAAAAATGATTCAGGCTACTTGGTGCCTTGAAATAGCTTATCATTAGTGGTGTGGTCATGGTTGGGGAGGTTTCAAAAAGGGGAAGAAGAACGTTGTGTAACCAGCTAACCTTGGAAACATCTGGCAGAGTGAGGTGCAGGCTGTGTTATGAGACTGAGGATGGGGAAACTTTTATTTTGATGAGGTTTGGCTAGCTAAGCTTATTTTCTTTCCTTTGCTTTCTGTTTCCCTCAGGAATAGGATGCTTGAAGGGATAAAGGAACCCGGAGTGGAGTTTAACATTTGCTGAGGGAGATGCTTTGAGTGGTGGATTCTAGTATTTGCAGGATGACTTGATGATCGTCTCTTCTTTCCCTGCCTTTCAGTGCCATCTCAGTACTGCTGTCCTCACACCTTACAACATCTCTCTCGACACTTCTCATGTGAGCACTCTGAACTTCCAGAGGTAAAGACAGAAGGTCCGCTTCATCCCATATTAGATTTTGATTTTTAAGAAATGAAATTCTTTCCTGAAGCATGCCCTCCCCCAGTTTTCTGAACAGCTTTGCTTTTGTTAGTTCAGGCAGCTGTGGCAAATACCGCAGACTGGGTAACTGATAAACAAGAATTTATTGTTGGAGAGGAGGCTGCCAAGTCCATGGTAAAGGCATCAGCAGTCAGTGTCTGCTGAGGTCCCTGTCCTGGCTCACAGGTTGCCTGGTTGCTGGGCCCTCACACCACGGAAAAGAGAAAGCATGGGTCTCCCTCTCCATGGGTCTCTTTTATAAAGACATCAGTTACCTCCTTGAGACCCACCCCTAACACCATCCCCTGGAGGGGTAGGTTGTAACATGTGAATTTGCAACACATGAATATTTGACACAAATATTCAGTGCCGTCAGCATTTAGCAAGGGGAATGCCTCCATGTTCAGCACAGACACAAAACTGACCACAGTTGAGATTCTGTTGGAAAGGACTAGGGATGGTAGTTGAATCGACCCACAGTATCAATGGTAATTTCTTCTAGTATTTGTCAGAAAGGACATTTGTCTCATTTTGGTAACTGAACTTCATCCTCCCACCCTCCAAGAGGGTCTTCCCATGTGTAGCTCTCACCGCCCTTGGCCTTACAGAAGCTCCCTACCAGGATTTTTTTCTTCAACTCTGGTTTTCTTGACCCAGCCCTGCTTCCTCCACCCGGACCTTCACATAAGACTTCTGATCAGACAGACCTGGGTTCAACTCTTACCTATGCGGTGTCTCTCAATAGCCTCGTGGCCTTGGGCAAGTCACTTAACCTTCTCAGGGCTCATAACTTGTATGCCATTGCGTGACTGTAAGGACGACAGAGTGGCTACAATGTACCTAGCCTGAATGGCTGGCCCCAGAAAGGTGTTCAGTAAGTAGTTCTCTTTACTGATGGGCCTGTATGGAGGAGTCTTTATATGGCAGGCATATCGTGAGGAAATTATTTATAGGTGCCTACAAAGTAACGACTCAGGGACACCCGCGTTCGCACTAGTTCCTGAGCAGCTCAAGACTGGAAAGAAAAAGTGAATGTCTGAGATGCCAGAGACAGTGAGAGGCAGAGGTCAGACCTGACCCCATTGCTGCCCAAAGCCTGGCACGTGACCATTATGCCAGTCTCCCTGGCCCATGTTGCTTCCTACAGTGGACTTGTCTCCGGTGACAACAAATTTTCCCATCAGGCAACAGACCTTAAGAGAACAGGCAGCTGAATTAAGAGCAAGTTGTGTGGTGGTGGACAATGATGTGTTGGAAGAGTAAGGGTCATATCCTGCCTAAGATGGCAGGACAGGTCACGTGAGGAAGTGGAGGCCTGCTCTACCCAGGACTTCAAGCTGAGTTGGAGGGGCTCTTCCCAGCCACTGTGATCTCAGCCGCCCAGATTTGCCTGGCAGTTCCCCTACCTGAAGCTAGGGGAAGCAACCAGACCCAGAGATCAGAAGCCCCATGCTTCCCACAACATCCTTAAAAAGTAGGTTCTGTTCCAGGTACGAATCATTGACATTTTGAAGAGATTAGTGTTTGACTCGACAGAACATGGAGGACGTGGCCATCTTTCTTTGGTTTGGTTTGGGCAGGTTGTAGTAAATGATTCCAACTGGTAGACGGGAGGCAGAATCAAAAGTTCAGGGATCCTACCAGAGCTCGGGGGCTCAGAGAACCAAGGAGAGGCAAGAGGGAGATAGAAAGCCAACCCCCTGTCTGCTGCCTGTCCTGAGTTTCGGTGACTTCTCTTTGATGTTTGAATAGTGACATTGGGGCCTCAGATCCAAACACCAGTGTTGAAAATAACACACTCCATGAGCAGAAGCAGATGAATCACAAACCATGCTGGAAAGGTCTTTGGAGGACATATTTTTAATTTTATTGTCTTATTTTTTTGTATTGGATAACACAAGAGCCGGTGATGTGTGATGGAAGGCAGTAGGCTGGGAGCGTGCGAGTGTCTTAATACTGTCTCCAAACTGTTGAACATCTATAAACTCCTTGCCTTTTGTTTTTCTTTTTCTTGCCCTTGGGTTTTGCAAAGAGCATAAAGCTAGGTGTTGCGAAAAGGCCCTCTCCAAACTGAGTTGAGGGTGAGCACCACAAGAACCGGCCAGAGAGTGCGCTAGAGAGCAGAGTATCTCAGGTCTGCCTTCAGCGGAGTCTCTTCACTGAGCACAATGAGTGGCTGGTGGGTGTTGTACAGGCCAAGCTTGCAATCAATAGCCTCCTTAGGCTTCTCTGAGCATTGCTAGACCCTAGATAATGACAAGTTTGCATTTTAAAAGAACTTTCTTTTATAGGATTTCACTGTAATGTTGGTTGGAAGTAAGATGAAGGAGGTTTTTATTGTTAAACCAAATGTACAGATGTAGGCCCAAATACTTTAATGACTTGTGGGGGAAGGTTTGTGACTTCTGTCTTTGGATCCAGATCGTGGCAGACTATAGTACCTGGGTACTGTGCAAGCTTCCTTTAAACCGTGAGAAGATATAGGGACTCTTGCATTTATGATATGTCACGATAGTGCTATTCAGCAGGGGAGAGGATGATGCCATGAATTGTTTGGGTCACTAGCTGGCTCCATAGGGTCTGGGTCTGTTAGACACAGCTGTGCTTTGGGCACATAGTGGCTTATCAGAGGAGAATGTTCATATTCTAGGTTCCTAACTATAGAACTGGAACACTGGAGAGTACTTCAGAGACTTTACTCAAGCCATGATCACAAATAAGGAGAGTGAGACTTGGTGGGGTTGGTGGTCTGTTCCCAGGCTGAACAGCTAGGCTATGGCAAGAGCAGTGCTGAGGCTGAGGCACTCTTCTCTCTCTAGTGCATACTGCTCACATTTTCTTCTTTCTGTGAGTTGTCTGTGTGGAAAGCCATGGTTAGGAGCAGAGGCTTTGGAGTCAATGAGCCCCAAGCTTGCACTTTGCCCCTTTGTAAGAGAATTGTGCACCCAGGGCACATTGATGACAGAAGGGAAGGTTGAGGACAGCGGGGCGGTGCCAGCTAAGATTGTCCCTCTTGTTCAAGAAAGGAAAGTTTTCCTGATGCTGTCTGTGGGAGACTTCTGCTTCCATTTCATGGGCAGAATGGGGTCAGCAGTCATTGCTTCATTGGAAGGGAGGAACCATTAACTTGTAGCCTCTGTAGTTGGAGGCAGGAATGAGAAGAGGGTGGGACCTGGATGTCTGGGGTCAATTAACAGAGTCTGCCTCTGATGGATCCTGAATTCCAGGGAGCAGCAGGATGGGTCCTGGCCATGGTGAAGCCTCATGCACTGGATCACACTATACAGAGAAGTCACGTGGCAGTAAAGGGGATGACCTCGACTTTTCAACCTGATGGGACTCTCTCCCAACTCCCAGGCCCACCAGTGGAGTGACAGCAGTCTTTTTCTAAGAGCATGTAGGTGTGGCCACTTGGAGAAAATACAAAAACTTCCTAAGATACAAGATGTTTTCTACTGCCACCAGATGTCCTCTGGAGGGTTTCCTACTCCTTAATGAACAGGCCAAGCTAGTCCTGATATTGGAGGCCTGTAATCACACTTCCTGGGAGGCTGAGGCAGGAGGATGCCAACTTCAAGACCTGGCTGGGCAATTTAGTGAGACACTGTCTCAAAATAAAGAGTAAAAAGAGAGCTTGGAGTACCATAGCTAAAGGATAGAGTGCTTGCCAGCACATCCGGGTCCTGGGTTCAACATCCAGTCCTGCAAATCAAGGAACTGGTAACATTAACCCGAGTCTCCATTTCTTAGTTCTAACAGGGTCATTTCCAGAGGGCTCTCCCAGAAGGGTTTGTGTGGCAGGGTCACCGCATGGAACACATCTGTGCAGTGACAGCTGCTCCTAGTTCCCTAACTGGCCCCACTCTCCATCTCGGGGCCGTGCTTTCTCTTTCCACCAACCCCTTGAAGATGCAGGTCTGTGCATTTTACTAGGGAAGGAGCCCAGGGCTAAGCCACTGACATCAAAACCAGGGGCAACTCGGGGAGGAGAGTGAACTGGATGCTCTGGTCCCTGCCATAGCACCCACAGCATCCACAGCATTGTCCTGTTCCCCTCCTGGGCAGACTTGGTTTGTGTTTCAAAGACTCTGCCTGGGCCATTGTTTATGCAGTGCTGGGTTCCCAGAGCAGGGTGGGCGGTTGATGAATCTGTTAAGTAGGAGTGGGAAGGACAATCTGGAGTCAGAAAGCCACCACTGAACTCTTGTGGACTTTGGAGAAGGCTTGAAGAGTGGGAAGCTGAGCAACCCAGTGCGGTGGGTTTGAAAAAGTCATTTCCCTCCTGAATCTTTCACTTTCTCGTGTGAAATTTTCTTGTATTGTCAGCTTGGTGGAGACCACAGATTTCAGTGTAGACGTCTAGTCACCTGCTATGCCCGAGGGGATTTTGCCGAATAATTGTAATGTTCACTTAAATATTTGTCCTAGACCTCCACTGTGTTTCCCTAAGATCCTGTCCACCCACCAGGGTTCTTTGTGGGCTGGTTGTGTTGCATTCTCAACCTTTATGGAAAAGGAGCCCCTGGACTACTAGGGCAATAAATAAGGTGGCTAATTTTCTCTCTTTTTCACTGAGGAACTTCTTGGGGTCTGACAGAGCATATCACTTCTCTTGCATAAAATGTGGAATTGTCAATATGCAGACGCTTCAATGGTCAAGACTCTGGCATTCCATTTCCATCAGTGTGTACAGGATATCCTGCCTGGCTTTGGCCTCAGGGCAGGTCGGCAGTAGTTTGGAACATGGTGACGTTACATAGAGTCCCGAGACAGCGTCACTGGTGGTAGAAAAGAAGTCACTTGTCCAGGATATTTCTTTGTTGAGGAGCAGATTATGTGATGCATCAGTGCACTCACCCCCCAGGCCCTGATAGATTTTAGTGGTTTTATTGTTGACATTTGTTTGTTTGTTTGCTTTTTTCTCATGGAGAAAGATGATG